ATAAACGAAGGAAACTTTCTCTCACACTCCAGAATATATTATTAAAATTATCAATAGCAGATCCTTAATGCAATTTACATCTATTTAATATTAAACATACTAAACCTTAAAAAAATTGAAAACTTTTTTTTTTCAAAATTCAAATGATAAAATTTTGGAATATTCTTAAAATTCAATTTCGAAGGATTTAATTAAAGCTGATTTACAAGAATTTCTAGGAGGAAATCCGGTTAAATAATGGCAATCGTGTCGACACAAATCGCTGGTAAAAGGACACGCTTATGCATTTACAGTCGAAAGAATGCCAAACACCAGCACGTAACTATTACCCTGCACATGACCGGGTCATGGGGGATAGCTGTACACCCCTCAGGGCACAGGTGTGTGAACCGGTGATCTAGGTCAGGCGAGAGTGTTGCCCCTCATTCGCCTTGACACACTTGCAGGTTATCTCTACCCCTGAGTCAATTCTACTCTGTAGCACATCACCAAATTCACCATCTACTTTTTTTCATATTATTGCTCTTGCTATATTAGTTTATTATTGAATAAACCATTTCATACGTTTCTTCCTAACAAATATTTGTTAGCAATTAATGTATAGACAATGTCCGATATTTGTTCCTATTGTTTATCATCAGAAATAGAGTTAAGTTTTCCGAGAACCCACTTCAACACTAGTATCACTAAATGAACCTATTGTTCTATAATTTTACCTACATGAAAGATTACTTTAAATAATCTCGTTTATTTTTGCTGTTCAATTCTGTTAAAATGTTCTTCAAGTTTTGCAAACTCTTTTCAAGTTATACACACGATAAGAAAAACAATTTAAGCTAAAAATCATCATCCAAAGCAGCACGACAACCAATTCTATTAATTTGCAAATTGAGAATAATTTTTGAAAATTGTTTTCGTGTGATGTCAAAATGATTTAGACAGAAAACCAAATTGCTTATTTTAACAATAAAACTGATTTTTGGAAATAGAAAATTTAGATTCAAAATGATATGTGAAGGTGAGAATAAATTGATTCAAATCAATCTTTTTATCAATAAAAATTTAAGTATAAAAGAACCAAGTCAAGTTCCAACTGGAGGAAAAAAAACTCATGCTATTGATATCTCGATTACAACATTGATCGTTTCTATTGCAAGCAGCATAAATAAATCAAATATTTTAACGACTCAGAAATAAACTAAGCTATATTTTATCAGTTTCATTAGTAGAAGACTGTTTTTATTAAAATAGTTGGCTAATAATGTATATCTTTTCAACAAAAAGAATGGAATAACGAATGAATTGTATTTTTTCACCTTCAAAACTTTATTATTCGAATAATAACTTGTTTTCAATATCTTGAGTGTTGATTGCAAATACATACGTCATTTGCGTTCGACCCGATATATTGTAAGCACTTGTGTATACACATTTATTGGAGTCCCAGCACGTTTTACTTATAAAAACCTTCATTAAACTAAAATCACCTACAAAAAGCGTCTATTTGGGAAAACTAAAAATTCTGAAATATTCAATAAAAAAAAAATTTTTCATTTTACAATTGTCCGGAATTAATTTATGATCAAGAACGTCAATAGAATATGTTCAGAAATACGTGCTGATCATAAAATACTAGTAATACTGAAAGGAAGAACGAAGTAGAGGAGAAAGAACGAATCACTCTTACATGCTCTTCTGACGTTTTCAAGTGGAACAATCATACAAGACGTTCCTTTTGAATATTCATTAGTACTCGACGCATAACTGCATCACGAATAATTCTACAACACGATACATTACTATACGGAAACCTTCAAATCTCTCTCACTTTCAAGTGCAACAACAAATTCACTTGGAATATTTAATCAGCATACAAATCATCCATTCAACACCCGAAAAACATCATGAAATTAATTGTCATGATTGAAGGATGAAGATGATGGAAAAACAGGGTTTATTTCAATTGTTAAATTCATAATAATAAAGTTAGAAGCACCAATATGAGGTAAAGCAACGTCGGGACGCGGTCACCACAGGACATTCACCCCTAGTATGCCGGCGCACTCAATATCCAACCCTCTCTTTTCTTCCTTCCTCTTGCCGACTTCCTACGATCCATTTCTCCCACCTAATGCTGCTTTTACTGTACTTCTTACTAATCTAGGACCACCAGCTTGATTTTCATCAAGTGATAGACATGTTTGATGATAAACCATTGTGCTATTATGCATAAGATACTTTCATGTTAATCATTTTATTTATGATCAAATTTTTAAGATTAATCAAAAGATAATAAGATACCTGCATTTGGACATTGAAAGACAATCATTATTCACTCAAATATTGTTAAAAAAATTTAAAAAAAACGACTTACCCATAAGAAGTTAATAATAGGTTTTGTTTATAACCATTATTTTATCCAAAATTAATTGGTTAAAGTGCTTGCTTTTACTCTGAGTTTACTTTGTGTGTGTAGTGAAAGCAGTTGATAATGTTGGGAAATTTTTAGCACTACAATTAGGAGCTCCATTTATGCACAACTGTCAAAAATATATAAAGAACATTATTTTATTCATGAATATTTTTCAGTAATAATATAAATAAAATAAATATCTATTTGTATTTTATATAAAGCAAAATTTATTTTCTAGAAATAATGATCTTCATTGAAAATAGAAATTGATTTCAATTAATCTCCCAGTAATGACTAGATACTGGGCTTACATAATCGATATTTAGTATTTATTTAACAATATCATCCATTGAATTTAACAAATTTATTTGGTTGCATTTAATTATACCACTCATTAATAGTAGAAAAAGTTTATTAACCATATAAAAGCTCACCTTGTCATAACAGATACATTTTAATGCAATTTGTGATTTGAGATATGCTTTTAATGGACGAAAAAAACTATCCAATTTTTTAGTAGTTATTTAAAATGGTCATTAAACTATTTGTTGAAACCTCTAAAAGATAAAATAAGGGGAATTTTTTTTTTTTAATTCCCCTCAAACCACCACCGATGGACAAAGTTCTCGAACAGCAGTATTTTGTTAGGCTAGAAACTAAGGGATATATGGTGACAGCAATGTGAACATCCGGTCGACGTTCGTTTTATCAAACTCAACCATTCGCTTGAAATTAAAATATATTGCTTCTATATATTAAAACAAAAATTATTTGATTTTTGTCCATGTTAGATTAATTATTACTATGTATTGTTTTCACAAAAAAGTAATATTAGCGTCATGACGCTTGTAACAATGTATAGTAAAATCACATGAAATTATCCACACTATACTTATTACGACGTAAATTAGTTCGACATCAGACAAGGCCAATTGATGTACATATTTATGCATCATAATGGAATTCAAGTGAGAGGAACAAGTGGCTAACAGTTCTCAGATAATGTGTCTTTGAGTTTTTTAATGACAATAATATACACTCAACTGTTTATTCTGACGTTCTGAAAATAAACGAAAATATTTCTACAAGGCCGCACTGCTGAATTTGTACACGGAATTGCTCTTTTACTTGCCAAGAATTATTATTCACGTAAGTAAGGTACTTAATTTTTTTTGTTTTTATGATTGAATAAATTTTTTTCTTTTTTTTTGATGCTATAAAAATGAATTTTCATTATTATTTTAATTAAACTGAAAATTTTGATATAATTATTTGATTATTTTCAGGTGCCCATCAAATTCGCGTAACATAAATATAAAAATTTGTAAATAAATGTGTTCGAGTGTCTTCTATATTCAATCAAATATTTGAACTCGATAAAATTTGTTATACCAAGAGATAAATTCTTTCTCTATCTTGAGATGTGCAATTTAAAATGAATCTCATCATTCAGAAGAAATTCAAAATGTGTATGTATGTCATAAAATTAGCACAGTTTATCGTATATCAATGTGACAGCCTTGAAAAAAATGAAGATAGTCAAGAAAAATGAATAGCAGTAAAAAAAAAATAATATAAAGTAGAATTGTCACGAAAAGTCCTTAGGGCATAAGTTAGAATTCTCGTTAAATCTTGACACAGCTTTTATACACTTTTCCATGAAACTTGATCTGACCAATGCAAAAAAAAAATTGCTATAGAAAGAAACAAAAAATGCGTTACAACAACTAGCCCAGAGGCTGAATAAGGTATTCTTCCGACTTTTCGTATGATTTTTAAACTTTGTGGCTTTTCAGTAAACTTAAACGATGAATTCTCAAGAAGATAGCTTGCTTTTTTTTTGCTTTGAAGTACTATAGACTTGTTTGATTGCACCTTAAGAAAATTTAAAGAGTTATATGTATACACTAAGACCCTTGTCTGAGGTCAAGGTATCCGTTTTACGTTTAAATTGTCTTTATCCCTATCCAAGCATGTTCATTGCTGGAGATTTGAAATTCCGTGAGTTCCTTAGGAGTCACGTAGTGGCAAATGAATTTTCAAAAGTACTCTTGCTAAAACTACACAAAGTTGCAATAGTAAAATAAAAAAATGTCACAAAAGAAAAGCTCAAAAAGGAATCGAATAAAAAATAAAAAAGGAAAACTAATCGAACGGAGAAAATCGAGTTCGGTACGAAAGAGCCTCTAGCAAACGAGAATAGCTAGGAAATCTCAACAATTACGTAGGAATTTTCACGAGCGAATACTCGAGAGAATCGGACCAAAGCTTTAAGCGAGATGGAAAACCTACAAGAAAAGACTTGAAGTCTATATACTTAAAAAAAAAATCCTGCAGATAAGCCACAAGTTTTTAAGCAGACTTTTCACGAAATAGTTGATAAAAAAGTGTTTGCTCAAACTTGGAAAAAATGGAAAAAAAATCCATCAAAATAATCTGCTGTAGAAGTCTGTAAACATTGAAAAAAAGAATAAATCTCTTCATCATGAAGGACTTGATTCTCAGCTACTTGAAGCTCAAAGTACACCCTCAAGCCAAACTAAAGCACTTTCAGCTTCCACTCTAACAACATATCAATGATACTTACGAACTAAGATGTTTCCAACAAGCGTAGCAGGTAGGCAGAATACGATTACGAGTACATCTGCAACGGCAAGATTAACGATGAAGAAGTTGGTGACGGTGCGCATTCTTGGTGAACGGTAAACGACCGCAATAACGAAACTGTTGCCAACGAGACCAACAACAAACACAAGCATATATGCGACACAATAAACTACGGTCATTGCTACGCTATGTCTGTAAAAGCGATCAGGAACATGTTCAACTGGGATGTTGGCTGAATCACTAGCATTAAACAAGCCCACACCCGCTGATGGCTCTTCCAAAGTAGTACGTGACCCAGCAGTTACTAAATCAGTTAGTGAATTATTTAAATAGTCCCGTAATTCGTCCTTGGTTTGCACGAAAACATTATTAGCTAAATTAAATGGTGGTCCAGTTGTTAGCAGAACATTTCCACTTGTTCTTCGACGTGGCTCCACATCAAACTCCTCCGAATCTGGTAAACGGAGAGAAGCCATCTCCAATAGTGGAGAGGGTGGTTGCAACATTGAGGGGTACCAAGCGGATAAATCAATCAAAAGTGTATCCACCATTTAAATTATTTTTTCAAATCATCAACTAGTCCATTATTAATGATATTTCTTTGTCTTGGCTTAATTCTATGATCATTAAGTCTTTCGAGTCCTCGACTCTCCCGCTTTTAGTAGCACGCCTGCGCTACCTGCCTCCACCTGACCACCTGAATTCACGTGCTACCTGATAACTGTCACACACTCATGTATTTATTCACTACAAGTCATAGTTTAACTGATTGAACTTTCAGCTGAATTATCCAAACTGCTGAATACCACGTTAATTAAATCAACTGGAACTGATAAAAAACTATTCTTGCTTTAATAGATAGAAATAGTGCTAAAAAGTCGAGTTTATTTGATAGTTGGAACATAAAGAAAAGTTTTCAGTTAACAACTTGATAGTGAAGAAAAAAAATATTTGCGGTCCGGATGCTGGGCGGTTAATGAGTCCGCTTTAGGTGGCAACCGCGTACTGGAGTTTAAGATGCGTCCAAAGCAACGACGAGCTGTCTGACAAAGCTCAACCAAAAGTGCGCAGACGCCATCTGTTCATATCGCGGGTTGGAGCACATGCAGCAGCAGCAACAACACCAATATTATACACATGATATTTCAATACGCTTCAACAACTCACCGATGAATTTTCCATCTTGATAGTTTTTCTTTATTCGTTCTATTCCTCTATTTTCCAATAAATCCAATTGGATATTTACCTTCCATCTGACTGCAATTGATATTCATCGATACAGAAGACAAATGAGGATTTATATTCTACCTAATTTTTTTTACCAAGATTGTCTACTTCAATCTGTTACAATTTTCACTACTCTACGTATGAAATGGATGAGATTTCACTGATCTACTATTGTACTAAGCCGTTTTTAATAGAGGAATGTGAATAAACCGTTTAAAATGAGCTTTGATAAATGTAATCTAAAACTGAAAAATGAATATTACTTACAGTAGAATAATAAATAACTGGAGGATTTTTTTATAATAATAAATTAAGAGATTATCTCATTAGTAAATAGTTGAATCTCACATAATTAAATTGAATAAAATAACACCAACTGATTTTTAATTAAATTAACATCTACCAAAGAAGCATTGACAATAGAATTGTCTAATTTTATTTATCAAGCAAACGATTAAAACTCTAATTAAATCATTGAATATTTAATATGTGAATTTAACTGATTTCTTCATGTACGAGCTGTCAAGAACAACCAGATAACAACGAAAAAAATCTTGAAAGGTCAGAAAGTAGGACAGGGTCAGTAATTAGACCCTTTAACTTATAGATCTTAGGCATAAAAATGTAATGTTAGGTAATAGTAAAGAGTTGTCTATAAGATTATTGACCTGTTTTATTTCTCAGGATGAACACATTAAAAATGTCATGATATAATCAATTAATTATAAAAAGACTCTAAATAGCAATTCAACCCCTATTTTCTATGATACATTCTTGACAAGTATAGTTTATTAATTATTAATATCCTTATATACCTATCAGACAAGTCTTATATCATAGGTGCTTCATGAAAGATGTTTTATAATAGACACTTCTATTTTTGTTGCATTGAAAAATACATATTTATTGTAATCGTTGTTGAATATTATTTAAAAAAAAACTGATAGGTTTTAAGAGATGATTTTTATTAAACAAGGAGTAGAGTAGTAAAAAAGATGGAAATTTTAAATAAACTTGCAACACTGTAAAAATAAATTAATCTTCACTTTGACCCATGAACATGAGTGTACATATGTATGTTTTATGAATAACTCACCTTTTAAACTTATCCGACGATGCTACGCGGTTTTTTCTCTATATAAAAATGAGGTCAAATTGTTTGGAATTTATTTTTATAAATCAGGACATTTGCCCAGGGCTGACCTTTGTCATTTCTGAAAATTATATTAATTATTAAAATATTTAACAATAAAAATTTCTAATAAATAAAACAATTATATTTTTTATGTTATAATAATTTTGAAAAACCGATGAAATAATTTTAAGTGGAAATATATAGATAAAAAAAAAATTTTAGATAGAAAAAAATAGCCTGAAAATTGACATGAAAATAAATTTCAGTTAAAAAGTTTAAGTGTTGAGATAAGGCTCAACGCAAAGTTGTACAAGGATAATAAATCTGAGTGTGGACGACGGCTCTATCGACTTTTTACGAGTACTATCCTTGTAAGTGTATCCAAAACTCTGAAACCTCATCCTCTCAAACTTAAATACTATTTTCTTAAGGCGCACTCACTCGAACATTGAAACTTTGACGACAATTAAACTTTTTTTCATTACGATAAACCACGCCAGTTATATATAACAAGTGATTTTAAATTTTAATTATTTCAATATTTAAAAAGTTTGAAAAAGAAATAAAGTAATGGAAAAACAAAATCCATGAAAAAGATTTCTATCAAGTTTCGATTTTACAAAATAAAACTTTAATTAAGCTCTTTTTCACAGCGATTTTTCATTTGGAAAAATATTAGCTCAACTGTCACCTCAAATAGTCGTTCAAGGTTGCTATTTGACATAAATAGTAATGGAAAACTTTAGATTTCTTATACAAGTATTTTTTTACCCCTCCAGAATGCTCTTCACGTCCACTTTACACTCAATTGATTGATTAATTAAACAGATAATTAATATGTGATAATATAAAAATGATAGATCATCTGTGATGTAAAAAAAAAAGATGAATATCTTTCAATAATTTTCGAAGACAGATAATAAATTCCCAAGGGTGATATATTAGATACTTAATCCATGACAGGAGCGAGGACAAATCACGCCAAGTCGAGGTAACACGCCACCCCCAGGTCCAAATAATGTTTCCCATACAACAGAGCTTCCGAAGACCTCCCACTGTTTCTGTTGCAAACACCTTCTGTAGGCTTTCGGTCAAGGGAACATTCATCGGATCAGCTTTTAATCCTCTACAACCACTATTGGAATTCCTGGACAATTTTCTAATATCAAACGTATCAACCTGTTCTTCTGATCTTATTTTCTCTTGAATATTTGCTTCCTACTATTCAAGTTAGTTTAAATGTGGATAGAGATTATTTTTCTAATCAAAATTCATTCTAATGTGGAGTTTTTTCAATTTGTTTATTCATTTCCTGCATTTCAGATAAATAATCTAATTCTCATCTTCAATAGAAATATTTTTAGAATAGTTGAACAATGATAGCTGATTAAAATTACCAACTGGTGTTATCAACTTTAGAAGAAAATCAAAAATTTTTATTGAGTATCAAAATTGGATCTATAAATCTATTAAATGAATATGACAGCTTAATTATACATATTTTCTAATGAAAATTTTCTTCCACTGAAAAATGAGACTGTTAATTTCTCCTGAAAATTTACGATCGTGTTCCTAATTTCACATTAAAAGTCACCAATTCTCAGCAGAGTCATCAAAGTAATTTTACTAGCAGACTGCTACGCACTCATCTTCTAGCTTCCAGCGTCTAGACAACGATTTAAACCTTCATCTTTGAGCGAAGTAATTAAACAGAAAGTGAGAAAAAGAAATAAGTGGAAAAAAAAAATTTCTAGGTTTTAACTATTAACTTGTTTCCTACAGTAGTAACAGTTTGTTATAGTCATGTGCTAATATTCTTGCAGAATGCCCTTGTGAAAAAAAATGGAATGAATCATTTGTAAATGGGTTGCTTCAATTGTAATTGTTTCTCTACCACGTTCGTATGTGGGAACGCCAACTCATTATATCCTCTGCTTTTGTATTGTGTCAAGGACGATCGTTTTATCAATTACATTAGTCAAGACATTGTGTATAATAGAAGCAAAAAATTACATTATCTTACTTAATTATCTTACGAAAAAAAAAACTTTTGCTTAAATACATATAGATCTCTTTATTAAAACTTATAAATAATTATTCAAATAAAATGGTAAATTAAAGTGTACAAATATATTTTACAATTGACAAATATTCTCCCAAACTTCCTTTGGTTTCTTCACCAGAACAACGAGTGGCTCGATCCAGTCGGGCCTAAAAATAAAACGAATAGTATTATTTTTAGCTGAACAAAAACTATTCACTTAGTTAATATTTACCATGAAGCCTCGTCATCTGCGTCAAATTTCTATTATTGCTCGGATGTTCGCGGATCATTGTCCTCGAAACATGTAGTTCTGGCAGCAGATGATCCTGCATTAGTCTTTTCTCATAATTAGTTCGATATCTCATTTCCTTTTTGAGACTAGTGTCCCGTGCGTAAATTGACTCAGCATTTGAAAATGAATGAAATCGATGGCGTGCCCGCATGGTAGTGGCATTTGGATGTTTTATTTCAGATTCAGGACCTCTAGAGAGCTCATTAGTTGTGCTGCGATGTAATGACTTGAGTGAATCTTCATAGCCACTGCAAAATCATACAAAGTATCCAATATATTATTAAAAAAAAAAGAAAAACATACAAGATAAAATAGTGTCATTATTTAGTATCACGAAAGGCATGCTGTGAATTTGGTAGAAAGCATCCAAGCAATTTTCAAGCTTCTGAATTGATTAAAAAAATGAAAAAAAAAGTATAATGAAATAGAAAAAAAATAGTATATGGGGGTGTAGCAAATACAAACTTGCTGCTATCACCGCTTGAAGGACTTGACGAGTGGCCACAATGACAGGCACGTGCAACAATTCCGGAATCCTGGCCGCTTGAGTGAAGAGATGTTGCGGAAGCTTCGAGACATCCTGTCGCTCTGGTCGGCATCCTCTTGGCCGTTCCACAGCTGCGCGACTGACTGTGAATTAATCCAAGGGAATAGAAGGTCTCGGAAAGTAATAAATTTATCGAAAGTGTCTCGTATGCATGTAGCATCGTGTAAACAACATCACCAGCATCCAAAGTCTACGTAGACTCATCTTTTTAATGGGTTAAGCGCAAGCTTGTATAGACAGAAAACTATTTCAGATACATACCTATGGTGATGAATGCAACCTGGCTCATGTTCACAAACACTCAACCTCCTTGTGTCTCGTGCAAAGGGTTCAGGGTCATAATGAAGGCCGTCGACAAAAGTTGGAAATAGTGCTGGCTTCCGCAACGTTGCGGTTGGCTCCGTCAAAGCAAAGCCAACTGGCGAGAAAACGGTAGACGGTGGTAACGTTGTCTCACGTCGCCGGCTAACGAAGAAAATTCATTGGGGTGTGTAACTCTACCTAACTAACGGTTAAGTACTTAACTAAGTAATACCTAGTCAACTATATAAGTTTTAAATACACCCTAGGATTGTAAGTGAAAGTAACAAGTCAGCAGAAAATGAAAAATAAAGCTGCCTTAGCTTAGATAGTGTCTCAAGACCACAGCAAGTTGAAATTAATAAACAGAAAAGTGTGTTATATATTAATAAAACATTATTTATGAGAAACAATATTATCCCAACAACAAACTCTACGTTCATGTACAATCATTTATCACTTACAATTAAAATAAATTATTACTATTATTATTACTAATATTAATCTAATTAAAAAATTACTTAATTAGTTATTATTATTATTTTTTTTTTTAGTCATTTTAATTAGTATAGATTTTTAGTCTCTTTTATTAATGACTCAGAGCGTTGAAGTAAGCTTTCTCGGCCAGAGATGCCCACAGATTAAATTAAGACACATGATAAAGCGAGCTTCTGGATCTGGCAGATGATACATTGATGGTACCGATTCCCCTATAAAAAAATCCCAAGGAATTTTTTCAGCAATTAGTTGGGCTACAAAGCGTTAAAAAGAATAGGTAAGATCTAGAAAAAGCTAAAGAATGAATCATATTACAATTAGGTTTCTAAATTATACAGGAGATTAAGAGTATGATAAGTTAAAAACGAAATATTCAAAAGTATGAAAATTTATTTAAAGACTATCAATTTTTTCATATAGAAATAAATATTGCAATTTAAAAATAATTTTTCATACTTTTTGTTATTTTTGTTAGAGAAGTAAATAAGCAGAAAAAAAATTTTTAAAAAAGTTTTAAAATGACTTACCGTTTACTACGTCGAACGCAAACGACACAAAGGATTGTAACGAAAGCTCCTATAAAAACGACACAACTCAGGACAATCGCCCCCACCTCAAAAGTCGACAGTAAATATTTCTGACTGCTATTTCTAGGTGCGTTTCCGGTTATCTCTAGCACACGGTATTTTTCCAGCTCTCCTTTTATTTCCGATTTCTTTCTGTTGAAGGTTCTGTGGAAGTAAGAATGCATAAAGCATAAATATAAACGTTCTGAGATATCATATAAAAGATTTTCTGAATCGATTCTTCCAGGATATAAAAAAAATCAATGATGAATGTTATTCTGAATTTGAAAAAGTGGAAAATCTCGTGATTCTTTTACTAAAAAGAATCTTTCAGTAAAGAGAAAAGAAATAAAAGAAGTAAAAATATTCCAAGTACATTTACTTACTTATGTAAAGTCTCCATGTCAACCATTACATTAAGATCTGGATCCACAGCATAAAGATAAACGTCAGTTCTAAAGGAATTAATTTAAATTAATTAATCAATTAGTTAAATGACTAATTAATGTAATTAAAAGTACTTACGAAGTAGCATCAATCAAGTTTTTCTCTATATGCGGTTCCAACTTTCTCACCCGGACATCCCAGCCAGTAAGGTTTTTCAATGCTCTAATAAAAGCCAAGACGTTAATCATCACACTGAAGAAAAAAAGATCAATCGCTTCGAGATTTTACGATGTCCACTTACCTGGTAATGTCATCCACCTGGTCCTCTATTTCTGTTGGCTTTTTGCCCATTACCAATACTACTTGTTTGTTGTCATCCACAACATACACCTTAAACATGATAATTTATAGAATTTAAATATTCTAATAAAAAAGAATACATTGAATTATTCTATGAAATAAAAGAAATAAATTGTCCCTATTCAAAGATAAATTTGAAAAATAATTTAATAATGAAATTTAATCTCGCGAATTCTTAATTACTCATTTAATTTAAGTTGACTTTATAATTAACTGTATATTACTTTTATTAATCGACACAAAAAATTCTTTTAAAATTCCAAGTGAGAGAGAAAAAAGTTAGGAAGTAGTTGAAGGATGAAGAAGCAATCTGCAGCATACTGCTTTATTCTTAAACTCACAAAAACATTGGCGATGCTGCTACGCCCATTTTCGGCACCTCCACGATCAGTAGCCTTGACATCAAAACCAAAAACTCGACCAGCGTCCCGAGTAAAACTACCCACTGATCGCACTTGACCACTAAGTGGGTCAATGGCGAAACGTGGAGCATCCTCTCGTCCAAGAATTTGATACCGTATTTCACCATTTATTCCTTTATCAGGATCTTCCGCCTAAAATGAAATATTGTTCATAAAAAATTAGCATAAAACTACGACAAATTAAAATCGAAGAGAAGGAAATTTATCTTCTTTACTTCCTTTTTTTCAAATCAATACGAACCTCAACCTTGATAACTTCATAGCCGTAATTTGCAGACGCCGGGACAGCAGCAAGTAATGGTCGTCCTTTGCTCTTGAATCTTGGAGCATTGTCATTGATGTCTTGTACTCTAACTACAATCTTTGCCTCATTAATTCCAAGATCTCCAAGTCTCTCGTCGTTTACTGGATAAATCATCGTGGGTAAACCTCGGCTTTTCTTAATCCTATCTACTTTGACTTTAAATTCGTAAACATCTCTGTATTCACGATCGACAGAGTTCACTAGAAACAGAGTACCATTCTCTGGATCAATGAAAAAGTGATCTCGAACTTCAGAATCATTGGACAGGATCTCATACTTCATTATCTGACCAATGTATTTATCGGACACGTTCAATTGAAGGAGTTTCAAGGGTGTTTGTGAATTTTCCTCAACTTCTACTTCGTAGTAGCGATGTTGGAAGATTGGTTTATCGGACGTATTCTCTCGGGGTTCATCAACATCCAAAACTCTAACATACAACAACGCAGTTGATGTTAGACCTGGAGATCCTAAATCCCTGGCAATTATGGTGACATTATGAAGCTCTTGGGATTCATAATCTAAAGAAGAAACAGTAGAAATTGTTCCATCTTTACTGTCTATTGCGAAATATTGTTTTTGACCCGACTGTGGTAAATCAAACAAGATCAGGCCATTCCCATTGCCAACGAAATCCGAATCGTTTGCGTAAACTTTGTGGATTACTGTACCTATCGGAGTATCTTCTGCCACAGATGCATAATAAATAGGAATCAGTTTTTCGTCTACTTCTTTAAACTCTACAAATCCATAAAATTTCGGAGCATTATCATTGGCGTCTAGAACATTTATTTCAACATCAACAGTTGAGCTGAGTGGTATGTCACCACTATCATAAGCAATAACAATGATTTGATATTTATCTCGAGTTTCTCGATCAAGATTTCCGGTCACCGTTAGAACCCCAGTTGATAGTCCAATCTCAAATTTAAGATTTGTACTATCATATGATGAAGAGTTGACTTTATAGTTTATTTTAGCATTTTTGCCAAAATCCATATCTTCTGCCAATATCGTACCAATTTCTTCATTCTTGTGGGTTCCTTCAATAATATCAAATGTGTACCAGGATTTTTTAAACACTGGTGGGTGATTATTAACATCCTCAATGGCCATTTTCACAATAACATGATCAGTAAGATTGCCAGGATCTGACGCAATAATATCTAGGTGAATTTTTTTACCAGCTGGAAGTGAACGAGCCACTGAAAGCTCTCCCGACCTTGCATTGACAATGAAGTAAGGCCTGGTATCGGAAATCGAATCGTGATAAGGTGGATAGATAGTCTCACTTGCAATACTGTAAGTTATCTTGGCATTGTTGGACATGTCCTTGTCCTGGGCCAGTAGACGGATTATCGCAGTACCTATTGTTACATTCTCCGGCACTATAAGAAGTGGAGAACGAGCATCTGAATCGTCCTTCAGTTTTCCTGGTTTAGTATCATCTTTTGAAACGATTATTCCGTGATCCGGGGAAACAATCATCTGAGCAAATGTAGGTTTGTTATCATTGACATCATCCAATGTTATTCGCAATTGTGCAAACGATTTTGGATTCTCTAAAATTATAATGATCAAATTAAAAAAAAAAAAATATTCCAATATCAAAGAAAGAATATAAAAGAAAATATAATGAACGTTCTACTGCACTTTAATATTTGCACAATGAAAATAAACAAAATAGTCTTAGTTTGTGTACAAATAATGAGAAAAAAAATAAAAACGTAAAAGGTTTGAGAGAATTCTTTTACGAAAACAGTCAAGGTTGTTTAAACGATTATGGGTTATATTGAAATTGATAGTTCTGATAATTTTTTATTGATCATCCAGGCATTAATAAAAATATATAGAAAGTATAGAAAAAGTTGTAATGAATGGTTGTTTTTCCTACAATATGAAAAAGGCTACTTCGTGACATTCCGATTCAGAACACCCCTTTAATAATTAGATAATAAATATCAGAAATCTTATCTCGCTAAAACCAGTTTAGCCAAGTTGGAGAATTTCTGATTAGGTGAACAAGTCCAGAACAAATAACTATCGCTTTTACGCAACATTACGATTAGTAAGATAGCGGAATACAAAAAACAAGAATCTAGTTTTTTTACTTATAAGAACTAGTTAAAGCAGGACTTTCACTTACTCTTGTCACTGGCAATAATACGTAGCATATATGTAGGTTTATCTTCTCTGTCAAGAATTCGAAAAGCTTTGCCACCAAAGAAGACGCGACCAGTCATGCGATCAATAGTAAAGAGATCGCTTCCTTCACCCTCCAAAGTAAGAAGATAGTTTCTATTGGCCACATCGTCAGCATCATGAACTGATATACGATTATTCAGTATTACTTCGGTTCCTGGTAAACTGTTTTCTAGTAAGTGGCCTTCATAAGATTCAAAATCGAAAATCGGTGGATTGTCATTTTCATCATCAACGACTACGGTTATCTAAAAGTGTATTTAAATAAGGGAAAATTGAGTTACTGAGTCAATTAAACAAAAGAGTTTATTAAGAAGAGAAAGGAGAAAGTTAGATATTGATCTCCAACTTACTTGAAATATTCCAAGTCCTCTTGTTGTCTCGGCAATTACGGTGATGCTGTAATTCTGCCTCATTTCACGGTCGAGACCACGAACCGTGTAAAGGTCACCGGCCTCAGTAATTGTGATATCAGGAACATCTCGTTGATTGGCGATAATGAACCGAATATTTGAACTTTTCTTATCACCCGTATCATTTCTTGGAAGAACATGGCCAATAAAAGCATTTGGAATATTTTCTTTGACATGAAAGACCATTGGAGCTCTAGTCGTTCCTCTGTAATAACCAAAAAAATAACCTTTTTCGTCTATTCATGTTTTTTCCTCATGTTCAGGATCTAACATGAAATCTTTCCGGAAGTCGAATCGATAGATAGAGTTCTCAACGGATGACAATCATTAAACCAATTGTTACATTGTATAGATTGTTATTATTAAACAAATTAAATAGACTCGTAACTTTAAACGATTGCATGAAGTTTCACTGAAGATCATAGCTACTACATATATTTTTCAGGAAATGTGTCCTCAAGTTTCACTTTTTACATTCACGATGCGTAAATAATAATCACTCGCGACATCGTTATATGCACTATGAACATTGAGAGAAACTTTGCTTGTTTAGTGAACTTTTTAGATTCTCCGTTAAGATTTGCGATTATTGCTCAGATTAGTATAACTCCGATGACATTTTAATCTTATTAAACATCTAACAGTCGGTAGTTTTTTTATACGCCAGAAAGGTATTAAAAAAAATTAATTGTACTAACTTTGTAAAGAAATCCCTTTTATCGTTAGGGTCCACTACATGAATGGAGACATTAGTAACAAGAGTAAGATCTTTATCATTGGTGACAACCCCTTCAAAGTCGTAAGATCTTCTTGTGAATTTTTCAACCTTATCCACCACTGTGATAGTACCAGTTTGTTCTTCCACAGCAAAAGGAACTAAAAAATAAATACAAATAATTTTGAAATTGTATAAAATAAAGATGATTAATGATTTAAATTGTTTGATATCTACCTCCTTCATGGTAACTGTGAAGCAAATCGTATAGAAGGCCATTTCTCTTTTGTCCCGCATCATTGACACGAATTTGCCCGACACTCGTACCAATTTGCACATTAGCTCCCACCCAAAACTCATACGGAGCACCCACGAAATCTGGCATTGAATCTTTATCTAGTTCAAATAAGAAAGCATATAAAGTTTGGAATATTGTGCGAGAAAGTGGAAGATAGAAAATAAAACTTTAAAATGCAAGCCAAATGGTTAATTGAATGAACTTAATAATAATATGAGAGTACCATCCGGTTGAAATACATCCACCGTGACAACGGCTAGTGAAGATCTCCTTTCGCTAGGATTCGCTGGTTGATCCATTGCTTCAACAAAGATTGCGTGTCTTCCCTCTATTATCGGGCTCTCTGCTACGGACACAACACCTGTACGTACGTCGACAACAAACGGCACGCGCGCCAACGTGCTGTTTCCGGTCTGTTGAAGACCATACCTAACAATTCCATTTCTTCCAAGATCGCTGTCGGTTGCATGTACTTTACCCAAGACAGTGCCAACTTTCGCGTTTGTTCTCGTCATAAACTCGTAAACATTAGTTGGGATAAATGTTGGGTTATTATCGTTGGCGTCAAGTAGAGTTACTTCAACAGCAACTGAACTAGAATTAGATCCTGTTATAATGCTGGGTTTTTTTTCAACTGCCAGAACTTGCATTCTGATAAATGAAGTCTTTTCACGGTCTAAAACTCGCTCATCTTTGACTGTAAGCCATCCAGTCTTAGGATCAACAGCAAATGCTTCTGATGGATCATCTAGATCATAAGTGAATTCTGCATTCTCTCCTTGATCTTTGTCATACGCCACTACTTGGAGGACACTAAAACCATTTGGGAGATTCTCCACAATGCTAATATTATAAAGATCCACCTCAAACTGCGGCAGATTGTCATTTAAGTCTAAAATTTCAATTAAGACTTTTGCAGAAGAATACTTGAGTGGATTGTCTAACTGCGAAGCGTAAATTTGAAGAGTAAATGTGTTATTGAGCAAACGTTCATTGTCTAAGTCGATAGGTCGTTGAAGAAAGAGAGAACCGTTCTTTGAGTCTATTTGGAATAGTCCACGTTCGTTGCCCGATGTTATAGAGTATTTTACTGGAGTATTTATGCCTCTATCTTGATCTTCTGCGTGAATTGGAACATCCAGAGATATTTCTTTGTGAATTGATCCTCTCTAAAAAAAAATATTCATCTTATCAATTCAATATTATTTAATTTTATATACTAACAAATTAATTACTAATTATTTTCAACTTTGTTACAATTTACTTAGCTCTATTTAATGAACAGTAATAAAATTTTATAGTCAGCTGATAAGAAAAAAAAGTATATGACTTTTTTTTTTAGAACGAAAATCTTCTTAATGAGAAATCGGATTGCTTGAAGTAACTGAATAGTTCTTAAAATGTAATATAAAAAATTAAACTTACTGTAAGTGGAAAAGACTCGTAGATTCTACCCTTATAAACATCTTGAGTAAATTTGGGTCCAAGGTCATCATTGTCATGGACATTTATAGTAACAGTGGTGTTAGAACTTCTCGCTGGAATACCACGATCCTAAGGCCAGAATAAAAAGCAAATTGACGTGAGTGCTTCTATCTCTTTGCAAGTGGATTGAAATTCTACGTTCACAGAATAACTAGTTTAGCCAAGGGTATTTTCTTTGTTACTGATTTGCTAATGCGATAGTCATTTTAATAAAGCATCGAAATGACACTATAAAATACTTTCTAACTTCACTTGAAGATCTTTTTAATATAAAAAAGAATTGTTTTTTTTTTCTTACAGTTGCAGTAATAACCAGAATGAATTGTCGATCGCCTGTATCATAGTCCAAAGGCTTCCTCAAAATTAAAGCAGTCCGATGACCGGATTCCAGTGAAAATTTACCATCATCATTGCCTTTCACTATCGCATAATGAACATCGCTGTTTGGAGTATTCGGTTTGTCACCATCAATTGCATGAATGCCACGAAATATTGTAATTCCTAAAATGCCATAAATCATTTAGGATATGATATTAATCGTAGAAGGGTGTTAAGATCTAAACTACTATTTTATCCAGTTGGATCACGTCAACACAATTCACATAACACGCATATAATGATATTGATTAAACACTAGTGAGTATAATTCAATTACATTTTGATAATGATGATGAACAGCAAAAATCTTATTCAAAATAATTATTTTTCCAATCATAATTAATATCTTCAACATTTCTTCTTTCATTCTAATTAAATTTTCTTGCATAAAAAATTTTTTGTCTTTTTTTCTTTTTTTCATTATCAAAGTAAAAGTTTTCCACTTACTTTAAATGTTCATATCTCTTCATTTTTGAATCGCTGAATCGTGTGATCAAGATTTAAGTTGCATTAATAGCTTTCATTTACTCACTTCATTATCTTTTTTTTTTTTTTTAGATTTATAAAAAGCATAAAAATTGCAATTCCAACTTGGTTTTAAATATAACTTGGCTATTGAATAATTGTAGTAACTTATATAACAAACAATCGACTTTAAACTTTGTTTTAATAGAATGTTTTTAATCTTTTATTAATCATTGATCAGGATACTCAGCAGTTTTCGAATTTTTTTCAATGTTTTTGTTGGAATCAAAGAATTGATTGATGGAACGATTAAATATTTAATTGCATAATGTATTTAATATATTTCAAAACATTTAAAAATGGAGCATATAATTATGTAATAATTTTATCTTATATAATTCTTGAAATACATGCATTAATTTGCCTGATTGTAAAAAGAGAAATTTTATCTCGTGCTCTCTTTAGCCACATAAATTAGATTAAAGTTAGCTTTAAGAAATTAAATGTACGAATAGTGATGTTAAGTTAAGAAAATGAGATCCAAAAACCAGCAAAAGAAAATAAATTACCTTGCTTCTTCTGATTGCAGATTATTGAAATGCCAAAAATTATTTCAGAAAAAAATAGACATTTTAGGATAAATCTCCAGTCAACCGTGAAACAAATTAATTTTTTTCTAACTCTGCCATTTAACTTGTTCATTTCAATTTAGTTGGAATTATTTGAAACATATTATTCACAAATAATTTAGCTTTATATTCAAATAAGAATAAAAATATAATTAATAATATAATGATGTGAAAGTCTAGCAAATTAGAAGGAAAAATCTAATAATTTAATAATTTCATGATTATTATTCAAAGATAAAATATTCATCACGTAAATCATAAATTAATATTTCATTTAATAATCAATAATTAATTTATAATAGATGAAAAAAAAGGTGCAGTCATAGTATAGAAAATTTACTAAACTTTTAAAAATCTAAAAATTGTGATTCTTACCAGGAGGAGTGAATTCGTCAACAGAAACGTGATATGGTGCTCCAATAAACTGAGGCGAATGGTCATTAACATCCTCAACATAAACCGTAACAGACAAATGCGATGAAGTCTAGGACAGTAAAGGTAAGATATTTTATAAAGTTAAAGCCTTAAAAAAAAAAATGAATAAATAAGTGTGACAAAAAAATGAAAATCGCATTTACTCTGCCATAAATTCAACTATAAATCCACTACATATTCTTGCCAAGATTTTGTTAGGAAAGAGATGAAAAAAAAAAAAGGAAAATATGACGGGAGTATAAGGAGACTCTTTTCCTCAGTTACGGAAACTTTAGCGGGCTCACGCGATGGTTCACAGTCACGCTCTTAGAAAAAGGTGTTTCTTTTTTTCAGTCTTTTTTTGTCGGCTCTTCTCTCTTTTACTTCATGCTTTACGCAGTCATAATACACCCGTCACGTTTGCGCTTTCATGCGAAAGTATCTTTCATCGTCTTTCGAGTCTTTTATATGCACATGATGATGCTGGTTAAGAAAGTAAATACGAAAAAGAGAAAAGGAACAAATAAGGCCAATCAAAATGTATCGAGTTTAAATTTCTCGTAAAAGAAAATGTCTTTAAATTTTCATTTAATCCTGTAACACGGTGTGTGTCTGTATGTCTGTCTAGTAATCGTTACTTACTCTTAATGCGTTTGTTGCTCTGTCTCGATAGTCCTGACCTCGATCGTATAGTCCACCCACAAAATACCAGCCAAGTCCCTTTTTTTATATCAATTTATTTCAACTTTTTTTTTTTATCAGTATATATGTGCAGAAATTCGAAAGAAATGAAAGTCAAGAGACTTACCAGTGAATTTACATTGTCTGAGAAGTCACAGACTAATCGAAATTTTAACAGATTTCTGGGTGCATCTGTATCTACCAGATCCTCTAGTGATTGAGCCAAAATAACTGACACGTGGGTTTCATTGATCTCTTTGTAAGTAAAATATCGAGCATCTTCTTCCTAAAAGACAAAAGTAAAATGAATTTTATTTCAAGAAAATAAATTAAATAAATCATCAAAGAAGTTTTATTAATATTAAATCTAGCTTTCAGTGTAATTAAAATATTAATAATTATAATGATGCAAGTGAGGGAAAAAATATGGTAAAACAAATGAGAAGATGAAGGTATGAAGATAAAAAAAATAAATGAAGTGAACCTTATCGACTGGCATAATTGTTAAATGGCTACGTGGATGAACCTCGAGGGAGAGAACTTCTGCTCCAAGTGGAAGATTCTCTGGGACCCTGACGAACTTTAAATACTCCCCAACTGGATAAAATTGACATGCTGAAATATAAAATAATACTTAGATACAACAATCAACACTTTAAAAATTTATTAATCAAAATAGACATAAATATGTATGAGTATTTAAAATTGTTAACTCAAGACCAACAACAATGAAATAAATCACAGTCATTCTTGAATGTTTACTCTAATTTCTTAAGTGCATAAAGCATAGCGCATTACTCAGATACTAATTTCCTTTCCAAGTGGTAGCAAAGAAAAAAATTACATGCTGTAGATCACTATCTTTTATTAAATTTATTCACAGCATCGCTCGTGCTGAATATTTTCATCTTTGTTCCCTTTTTTTTCTTTTTTTAGTTTGAGAAACAACATAAGAGACTAAGAGTACTTTTGCTGAGGCTTTTCAATCATATCGTAAAATGCATTTAAATTAATCAACGTTTACTTTTACTTATCGCTAGCAAGTGTAAATGAATTTTTTCTTTCATTTTTGTTATAATAAAAAGTTGGCCAAGGTTAAGTGAGATTTAATCATTTGAAGATGAAAATTTTTTGATTACCTTTTGAAGAATTAGTTAAAAAAATAATGACCAGTAAAAGGATTTGTATTTGTCGACAAAAAAATCCTTTATCCACCTTGATCCTCGTCCCCATTGTGGATCCTCATGGAAATGAATCCTAGAACAAAAACGCACTCACTTATACGAAGGAAAAGATAAAAAGAAAATAAAGTATAAAATCGCGAATATTTGCATCACATCTTTTGCTTCATCACAAACTCCTTTATGTGTTCATATATACATATATACCAAGTATTTACAATTTGATATCGATTTTAGCAGAAAGACGCGAAAGTGCGGGACAATATTTGCATGAGTGACTCTTCAAAATTCCACCAGCCGTGTAGCATCTAGCCCCTAGTGTACGCGCATAATGTCATTCCTCATGAGGGCAAATCAAGGTCGAGATGCTGCTGACATTATTTAATATACATATCATCAATTTCTAATAAAATTTTACTTAAATTTTATACCCTTCTTACTCAATTCACTTAAATATTATCATACATTAAATTGATAAAGGTATCCATTTTTTTTCTAATATGAACATCTGGAGAACCTAGACCTACTTTTTCAGCAAATGTAAATTAATATTAATGAATTACTACTTTTTGAAGATTATTTAAAAAAGACTAGACTATTTTTAAAAGTGAGTTGTCTTAACTGTTAAGCAAATTTTTCTTTTAATCAAATTTTAAACTGTAAAACATTTTGAGATTTTTCCATTGATAACGTGTCTTCACATTAAAGTGTTAATATTTAAATTCGTTTGCTAAAATACTCGAAATTTAAATAGACTAGAAAATTCAATAAAATGTTTATGTAAGAACTTTTTTCTTTCAATTATTGATTAGTGATAAAATTTCAATTTAAAAATTCAAAGAAAAAATTTTATAATCAATGAAAACATATTTCATAAGTCCCAAAAAAAAAGGATTTCAATTAATAGTTTGAATAGAAACAATTTTATACTGAAAATTGATCCCATTAAAAGTAAAAATAAAAAATCTGATATTAATGATACCATGATATTAATGTTTTCTTGATCACGATGACTTGTCTAAAATTCAAGGAAGTTAATTCAAAATACCTGTATAAAAGCGTTTCAATCACCAAATAGTAAAAAAAGCAGCAACAAAATGCATTCACTATGTCAAACTAAACGACTGAAAGAACTTTCGTCACATTTCACGTTTCACGAGTGACTGGACGATAGTAATCCTGATCCGTTGCTTCTTCGCTTGAGTCCCCACGTTCCTTTTACCTCTTTATCCCTCACTAAATCAACGCAAAATTGACTCTTTAATCGATTTATCATTACTTCTAATAACAATCATCAGCAAAGAATAACTTCCTTATAAATATTATTACTTCTTTTTACTATCAAAGTCAATGAAAATTAATGACTGATAAATTATTGAATTTTCGTATATTGTTTTCTGTTTTAAACCATTCAGTTTTCACTATTATATTAAGGCGCCGATAGCATTGATCTGTCTGTCTTTCGCTATCTGCATTCAGCTATTTCAGTGTCACTCCATCCTCTTTGTCACCGATAAAATACCAAGTTTACACTAAAAAATATATTTAAAACTTTATTACTGTTATTCATGGTATAGAAATAGAAATGGAGAATTGAACAAATAAATTTATGAACCTTTTCCACCTGAAAGTTGATTACAATCCGCGAGAAACAGGAAGTAAGAGAGTTGGCGGATGCTGGTGATAGATGTCTCATGACTGTTGAAAAAAAAAAAAAAAGAAAAAAAGAAATGCTAAAAGAAATCAATTGATCGAACGCCTGGGAAAATTTGTGGGGAAAACTTTAAACTCTTTTATAATATCATTTAGAAATGATTATGTCTTGATACAAAATCAATATTATTCACTTTCGCTGTAATTTAAGTGTTGTGAGTTATAAATACAAGTTAACTGTCTTGAGAGATATTTTTTTTTTTTTAGCAGAAAAGTTGAATTTTTTGCTACAAATTGCTGGAACTGATACTTTTGCTTTTAGAGATCAGAAAAATTGATGCTAATTATACTATTTATATCTCAACAATTATAGATCATTTGCATCATCAGCAGCACATTAAAAAAACTTGCTTTTTGCAGTCTATGACACAATATATTCTACCGATAAATATCTGTAATGATGAAATATAGTAAACTCTTTTCACTATTGTTAGTAATAAAAAAAAGGCATTCCTCAAGAATTTTGTAAAAAAGTTTCAAGTAATTACTTCTGGGTTTTATTATCAACTTGGTGAGTTCAATTGAATAAATCTGTTGACAATCATCACATTTTTATGAAAACTTAATCATTATTTTCTAGGTTCTTCCATCTTCAATGTAACTTCCTCAATATCACTATATATTTATCTGGGTTCCAAAGTAGCTATCAATGGTACATTGACCCTAAAATGTTTCTACCATTATAATAACACCATTTCCTTTGGCTAAAACACTGCTCAAATTTCCCAACATATTGAATAAAATTCATATAAAATCGATTAGAAAATTTCAAATATAATAAGGACATAGATTACAAAAAATATTGCTACAACATCATGTAATGCACGCATCAATGTTGCAATAAATGATTGCAGAAATATGGGTTTTTATAAGTAACAATTTGTCGATGATTATAATCTCAAAGTACTTGTTGAGTTATAGTTGCATATTCAATATGAACGGTTAATAAATGAATGGTATAATATCAATAGTTGGACACAACATCAATTTGCAACTGAAGGAGCACCAAATGAATGAGTGGAAGCAGCTCACGTGGAATAACGAGTAGCCAAGTTTCATAAAAGCTAAGAGCTGCTGTTTCTGTAGCTGTGGAAGTCGTTAGGGGGCATACAGTAAATCTCGGGCCCTGAAGTAGTGAGTTGAAGATGAAGATCAAGGCAGTAACCTTGACTAGGCCATCGACTCACTTGCTTTTGCTTTACCCATTTCCCTCGAGACAATTTCATTCTTTTTATCTTTTTTTTTTGTCCAAAGTCTCTTTGTTCTCACCTTTTCACTTTTATAGATCGTCTGTGAATTTGAGCTTAGCATTTAAACGCTTTTTATTAGCACGTTGGAATCATTCCAGGAATAATTTTCGGTAAAATCATGTATTTTATTCGGTCTTAGTATTTATTAAGCACTAGTAAATGAAACAACGGTTTCCTCTTGCCGCTTTGTGATGACACCTAATCATAGTTAAGTACAGTAACAGTAAATTGAAGGAAAAAATTATTTTAAAGCAGAAAAAATTTTTACAATAGGATTCCCATGTCGTTAGCAGTAAATTAGTAATGAATTTTTAACATTCTTATCTGTATAATTTCAAGCCATAAATTATTTTCAAGAATTAAATAAATGTCTTCATTTGAATTTAAAATAGTTCATTTTAATTTTAATAAAATAATATAATTTTATAATGAGGAATAAATGGTTCATATATAATCATGCGAGACTTTCTTTTAGATAATATTGAATTAAAACAACAATATATCTTTTTTCCTTTGAATACATGCTTTTTATTATATTTAATACTTATTTATTTTTCATTCAATTGAAGAAATTTCATTCGTAAAATTTTTTTTCACAATAAATACTATTAGTAGTTTCACCAAAACATCAGAATTTTTTTGAATTAAATAATTTGCAAGTTTTTTCAATACTAATTTGTTCTTTCACCGTCTGCAGGTATATTTTACGACGACAAAAGACATCATAAAGTTTAAAAAAAAAAAAAAGTCATTTCGAAGCAGAGTTTATCGAAAAAAATTTTATTATTGAATTATCATGAGTGTGACACTCAAATTAGAAGTGATCAAAGTTAGGAGAGAAGGTATTTTATGATAGGACAGATTCACACCAGAGGTACGAAATGATAACGAGTCAGCCAGATGAAGTGAAGTGAGAAAGATAGAGAAGGAGAGAGAGAGAAATTGGAAGTAAAAGACAAAGAAAGGAGTTCGAACAGAGAGGTTGATAAATAAGAAGACGAAGAGAAGTAGGAAGAGTGAAAACATTATTTCTCATTCTCGTGACTATCCAATTGTTCTTCAACAATTGGATCTCTCAATCGTGTGCTTATACGCGAGGAGACTTAGCGAATCTCAATTAAGGGATGTAATTGCTACGAGAAGTTGGCAATGAAAAGGATCAGTGATGTTGTTAGCCTATTTATGATGAACGAGTATATTAAAAAAAAAATGAAGAATAAACACTTGACATTGTTTACCAAGGAAAACACTTCCTCTATTCTCACGTATCATTTTTAGAGCACTAGAACACTAGATTGAGATTCACGATGTCGATCATCCGCTAAGACATTCAAGAACTGACAAATAGAACGAAACCAAACTGTAGATTTTTCTTAATTTATTTTACCACGCATGAATAAATTTTCAAACGTCCTGATACTAAATTTATATAGGCGTGGAAAGTTGCCCTATGCACCAAGTAAACCGGATCAAATATTTGCATAATATTACTTCATTAATAATTTATAATCGAGTTATTTTGTAATAATATTTTTATAAAATTTTTTGTTGTTACTCTGATAAGAAATCAAGTCAAAAAAGGTATGCAAGTTTAATTTCTCGTGATTTACGAAATATATATTTCATACCATTAAATTATAGTTCTTTGCCTCTGAATAGACGTCTTGTCTTTGGTTCAAGTTATTTACAACTCGTGAAAGTGACTAACTTCATTTATTTGTTTAATTCATTCGTCTTTTTAATTAATAATTGCAGCTCCAATTATCATGTCAGTTCAACTCAATTCCATCCAAATTTTCAAATAAACCTTCTGTCTGATTCTTCAAGTAAATTAATTATTGAAACTTTTCACTAGAAAAATAAAAAAAAAATAAAATTATAAAGCATCTGTATTGTCTTTTGTTCTAAACTTCTATGATTGTTGACATCAACTCTTTTTTAATTGTTACAACTTGCAACTAAACTGTCTGACAAATGAAATTATTTGAAGCATTTTGTAAATGTGAAAAGTAAATTAACTGACAGATGATAAACTAATAATTATTCGTTCAAAATATTAACTGGTTATTAACTGCTAAATATTATTATTAAGAACACAATTGATGAACAAATCTAACATCATCAATTACAAAGAAGTCATTTTGGTAAAATACCAACTATTTTTCGTCATTTTTGTGAAAGTCTTTGGCACGTGATGTGTGATAAAACATTGGTAAACTATAGTATTCATCATAGAATAGATGTGAAAGGGGATGAACATAAACGATTTACTTGTACGACCTTGAATTCAAATCGCGTTTATCCTCTACAATGCAAAACCCGATTGGAATACACGATGAGAAGAAGACAAGATTGCATGAACAAATTAATTGTTTCTCTTTAAATCCTAGTTTAAAATTGATTAGAAAAAGTTTTTACTTTTGTTTGTCATCATTATATTGTTGTTAACTTACCAAAAATTAAAGATAACGTGATATTGATATTTTTAAGTTGACAAATAATTTCCACATCGTTGTGATCCGAATGGCGTTACAAAGGGCCAATGCACTTCTCAGCATACACAAGTAATAGATACTTGATGGAGTTGAACGTACTCTAGGCACTGGCTAGCTCTTTACTTCACTTCTAGCTGCAGTTTCTTTCCCACCTGAACTACTACTCGGTTAACCATGCACTAACAACTAGTAGCATGTACCTGTAGATTCCCTTTTACCTAGAACGAGAGTGGGGTTTAATTTTGCCAGCACTTAAAGAATACTTAGAATTTATGACTCTTTCATTTTTCAACAATTAATCGTTGGCGTTATCAGTGGTAATACTTTATCAGTTATTTTATATAAGCTTAAGTCATAATTGAAATTTATCCGACTGAATTTTTCAGTTCGTTAAAGTTAATTTGAAACTCTAGATTTGTGCAAAAAAAGTACTCCAGAAGGTACTTAAGCTAAAGTTTTTTAAGACTTTACATCAACTATAACTTTTTGAAGTTATTGTTTTTCTTTTTATTTCAAGGTATTTTCAGAAAAGTACTAATTTTAACATGTTATTAAAGGGATTTAATTACCAGTAGATTTCACTAATAAGCAAATTAGTTGTAGTCAGACATAAAATTTTAGCTTCCTTTTTTTAGTCTCAATAACATCAATAATAAAATGTACTGAAGTTTATTACTACTTAAATTATGTTGATATAGGTATATATTACACATAACTGTAAATAATAAAGTTATCTTTTCTTGAATTTTATAATTAATTACAGCGTCAGTTGTGCTGTTTATAATTCCTTGAAAATATTTTGAAGATATCAATAGCGAAATCTACTGAGTTTATATGGCAACATAACCTAGAAGTCAAGGAATACTGTCTCAGGTCGGTAATTTTTCACGAA